CAGCAGCAAGTCAGGAAACCTCAGTGCTCTAGTTCTCTGCTTGTGTGGCACATTTGATTAGTCTTGATTTTAACAAAGAGTCCTTGCCAGCCTGGTTGTATAAAAAGCTGGATTCAGTGGATGGTAGTTTCTATTAACTTCCTATTCAATTTTCAGGTTTGGTGGATATAAAAGATTTCTATAACCAAGCAAGTATGGTACAGGATGCTGGCTCTCTGGGCAAAGCAGTGTGCTCTTCCCTGAAGAATCTGACAGGTCTTTAAAGTCAGTGCTATGTTTGTTCTGGTTTTGCCCCCTCTCAACTGCATGGCCTTGGGCAAGCTCATCCCTGGGCTGCTTGTGCCCATGGAGCTTCCTCTGCTGAAGTCTTCAGGGTGCTGTGGTCCTTCTGAGTACCTGCTGCAGACAGCTCGGGACGCAGCCTCAGCTCAGCTCAACACCCCTTCCCATTTCTGCTTTCCAGGCTACCAAGTGGAATCACTGTCCACCATACTGTTTTCTTATCCCTAAGAAGTAGGCTTCCCTTAACAGGATTCCTCTTCTGTTAATTTACTGGTACATTCATAAAGACAGGGAGGAATATTTGTGTTCCTTTTGCTGTTTATAACCAGGATTCATCTTTAAGTTTTTTATTAAAATATATTTATCTTGCAGTCAAAATAGTAGTATCTTGTGAGACAATGAATTTAATGCATTTCCTCTTCATTGCATGTTTTCATTTACCCAGAGGATTCATTCTTAGATTATTGCTAAATGTTTTATATTATTACTTGAGAATAGTTGCATTTAATTTATCAATGAAATTTGGGCAGTTATTTATGTCACTATATATAGTCTTTTTATTCTAAGATTATACTTCTTGAATCTGAAGTTTTATTTGTACTTTGATGGATTGGAATTGGCCTGAGCAAATTTTTATCAAGTTTTTAATAGTAACTTTTTAGTAACCATTAACTAGTAATGTGCCTTCAGAGCTTTTGATTATAAAAACATTTCAAGCTCCTTTACAAATGAAAGGGGCAGCTTGACTGGCAGTAGCTTTCTTTGATTGAGTCCTTTGTTTTTCTGTCATTTAGAAAATTGGGAGAAATTTAAGACCAACTAGGAATTTGCGGCTTTTACAGTGACTTGTTTTCCTTTGATTTATGTGTTGACCTCTTTTTGTTTTTTGCTTGAATACTGGGAAGTTTTAATTTTATTTTCACCATAGGATTCAAAATTACTGCCACGATATAGCTTTGGATTGATACAATTTGAATACAATTTAGTTTTCTTTTTTTAGTTTGGCTTTGTGTCTTGATTGTGATTCTATTTCAGTTCTTGTATTTTCTCAGAAACAACTGTAATTGCACTTTACTTTGGGGTTCCAAGATCTAGGAGCTTTCCCTGCCTGTGGGCCTTACTTGGATGTTTCCTCTTTATTTGTGTCAATGATTTAATTTCTGCTCCACGTCTGTGCCTCCCCACCCCCACACACCTCATGAGAGATGCTGTGCTTCCTCTTCGGAATCTGTGTAATGATCCTTTTTATTTTTTAAATTTTTTTAAAAATTTTTTTGTGGTACCAGGGATTGAACTCAGGACCTTGCGCTTGCCAGGCAAGCATTTATTCTACTGAGCTATCTCCCTGGCCCAATGATCCTTTTCAAAAAAATCTGTTTTCTCTTTTTATCTTGGCCGGCAGTCTTTGATTGATTTACAGCATTCTACTTTGGTTTTTTGAGATCATGTCTTCTTGTGTTGTATTGACAATGCCAAATGCTTGGCATGGGAATTACTTCCAATTCCTGTAAAAAATCATCTTTAGGAGACTGTTCTTGCTGTGAGCATTTAGCATGTTTCTTACTTTCTATATTCAGTACTGCTCAGTAGGTTCCTACTGACATTTAGCTGTTACTTTTACTGTATTCCTGAATTTTGAAATACCCCTCCAGACCTGTTCACAGAAAGCAAGTGTGAGTTTTCTTTGGCGCTCCCCTGTCTTCCAGTCTGTTAATAGTATTTGTCTTTCGACCTCTGGCTTTGTAGCAGGTTGATGTTTATAGGTGCTGGCCCGATTTCACTGGACTGGAAGAGTTTCTTGTAGAGCAGCTCTCTCCCACACCATGTTCTTTGTTACTTATACAGTATGGGAGTTATGTAAGGGTGCCACACTTTCAAAATCATCTTGTCCCTCAACCTGATTTTCTGCAACTAAAACTGCCAGGGTGCAGAGTACTTCCTTTTCCTTCCAGTTTTTTAAAAAAAGTAACAGTCACTAACTGGGGCTAGGGAATGGAGGATTTCCTGCTACCTCAGAAAGAATCATTCATGACAAAGAGCTGTCTAGGTTTCTCACAGATAGGGATTTTTCTGTTTCTGTTCAGGATAGTGAAAAGTAGAGAAAAGATAGGTAGATAGGCTGATAAATTTCCTATTTCCTTTAAGGTTCATGGCTTGTTTTCTGCCCCTCTAATCAATCCTTTAAATATAATTTTGTTCATTTAGTAGTATAAAACGACTTCCTTAATTTTAGCAATAGGCCGAAGGTCATATTTTACTTTTTGTGTTCCATGTATGTAGCTTTGCTTATCTCTTTCTTTAGAGAAATTTTAGTTGGAAGTTAGAGGAGTCTATATACCAAGGGCTGGCGGCAAGCATTTAAAACTTTTTATTTGAGACATGAAAATAAAAAATAAAATAAGAACTTTTTCATGTCACAAAATGCTTGAAAATTTTGCTTCCTGGAGATACTTTGTAGAAATAAAAGCAGCCTTTTAAATATTCATCAGAAGTTGTCATTCACATGATGGAGGCATCAGTGTTCCAGTTACAGAACCTGTGTCTTATGAACACTGGGTCATTTTAGTGATGAAATAAAATGTGTATATGTAACGGCAGGAATTCCAGTAGCTTCTATAAAATTTTTATTATACATAAAAGCTGCCTGGTCACAGTCTGCTAACAATAGTTTTAGAGCTGAAACAGCTGTTATAAATCATTTAATAAAGAAATTGCAAATTCACTTACCTTCAGGACAAAGAAAACAAAGGCAAACCCATGAAACAGGATTGTTTGATAACAGTAAGGAGAGGCAGGAACTACAGAAAATTTGAGATTATTTGTACAACCAAATCATCATATCGTCTTCTTGTTGTTGCTACTAGGAATTGAACTCAGGACCTTGTGCTTGTGAGGCAGTTACTGTGCCACTGAGCTACATCCCTGGCCTCCCTTGAGTCACCGTTAGAGTTACAAACCCACTCTCTCATTACAGAGCTTGAACTGAGGTCAAAGGATATTAATAGAATTGCTTCTAAATTAGGAGAATCTATAGACTTAATCACAATTCCATAGTCATCTACATTATTTATAGGATACAATGCAAATAAAATGTAAGGCTCCTTGTTCAACAATTAAGAACTGTCAGATGGTGATCCCAGAGCATTAATGCAAGGGTGGGGTCCTGTCTTGAGCATAAGTCACAAGCCTAGGAGTCCATACTGATTTTCACTTCTGATGGAGCGTTTGTAGTCCAAACAGAGAGACGAACACAGATACTCCCACATCCATCAAGACATTGATAATAGAGATGGGATTAAACTAAATGTTTTACTTTGATGCTATGTAAGTAAACTCTCTGGATGAATTATAATTCCTTCCATCACTTTTCACTGTTCCTTCTTGAACTCTGGTTTTGTAAGTTATTTGTTGAAGAGTTTTCACTGTGAAGTTCAAAGATCTCTAAAAGTTGTAAGAATTCCAGAATACTTGAAGCCAAAATCAGTCCAGGAATGGATGTGATTGTACAAGTCTAAGGACACTGTGTGTGTGTGTGTGTGTGTGTGTGTGTGTGTGTGTGTGTGTGTGCTTAAGAGGGGAAGGAAACTGGTATCGTTATTTTCTCCCCCATTTGAATGTAACTGTCATTTCTTTAGATCATTTTGTGTATCACTTGAATCATCTTCCAGAGTTGTTTTCCACTGTTACCCTATTTGTAATTTTTACCTGGCTTTCAAGCAGAAAAAGTGGTTTGGCTTCTGCTGGACTGAAGTTGACTAGTTACTTCTTTCTCTGAGTTAATTTGCAACCTGTAATCCAAAGTTCCACAGCAGTACAACTCAAGAATGCTATTTAGTGGTATTCAGCCAGCTATTCCAGGTACATTCCTTCATATTCAGAAAGTAGAAGAAATAAAATTGGGAACTAAGTCCCAGAGCAAAAAGTTTTTTGGTAATCAGCACACAAATATACACATACCTTACATTTAACAATATTTAGATTGCTAAAATCATTTTTTAAAAATACTTGAAACTTTTCTTCCTTAAAAAAGTGAATCTGGGCCAGCAAAATAACTCAGCAGACTGAAATACCTTCTTAGGCAAGCACAGGGACTATGGTTCCATCCCCGGCACCACATGCCATGTTAGCCCCACTCCCAGTGTGGGCTGAGCCGGCCAGAGTTTGGGCATGGTGGTGCATGCCTGTAATTCCAGCACTGGGGAGGCTGATTCCATATACATATATGCAATCTACACATCTGACCTAAGACAGTCCAAGATTGTTTTTCAGTTATTTGAAAAACTTGCTCTGTATGGCTTCCTTTGGCAGCATCCACACAAATGTTAATAAAAAGTTGGTGATAAAACATTCTAACCTAATTTTAAAAATATCAAAGCTTATATTTATAAAACACATTAACTAGTATGTGACTCAGACAAATATCCAAATACCTTCATATTGTGGAACTATATCACTTTCTGAGTGATTTGTAAGAACATCCTCATGTTGTAGGGGGAGCAGCGATGGGGTACGTGTGGTAGATAACTGAAAGTTAGGAATGAAGCTTGATGTTTACATTTGCTATCAGCCATGATGTGTTCAGCTAGCAGGTGCTCATCAGATTTAGTCCTTGTTGGTGGGGGGTGGATATAATGACTATTTTTTTTCCCCCTGCCTTTCAGAATATGCTGTGAGATATATAAACTGAGTATCATAGAATGTTTTTAAACCTTCTACAGGTGGAGATTTTCCTTTTACCTGTATGTATTTACCTACGGAGTTCGGTTCCTGAAAAAGGTAGGATCTGACAGATTAATTTCTATAATTTCTATGTAAGTTATATCCCAGTTTTAATATGTGGCTACATTTTAAGCAATCATAACAGGCCTTTTATGAATTATTTGTGCATTTGTAATGTAAAGATTTTTGTGCTTCATTGTTGATAGTAAATTATTTTTAGGCATTTTTCTGAACTAATTTTGAAAACAATTCATTTTTCCAGTGAAAGTTGTTGCTCAGTTCTATGCTCATTTATTTATTTATTTGTTTGTTTATCAAATTGGTAGTTTTATACAATCCAGTTGAAGCTGTGAAGAAGGCTAGAATTTCTACATCACACATTTCACAACTTGACAACATCAGTTGCTGCAGTGTGTGTTGTCACTGTAGAATTTGGCAGTAGGAAACACTGCAGTGATGTCCTGTATTACCAGGGCAGCACCAGTTACTGCAGGAAGTCCGGTTCCTTCCTTAGCTGGGCTTTCCTTGCTGCTGCTTTGCTAAATCGTACAAGAACTAGCGCCCCTTAATCTATTAAAGTAGTTCTTTGCAGCTGCCATGGGCGTTTCCCGGGTTATTTTAGTGCTTACTGATACTACTCATGATTTAGGCTACTTAAATTCAAGTTTCATGGAGATTTATTCTCTAATAGTGATGTTAACAAATTTAGCTTAAGATGGGAAATGATTTTTTATTTTCATTTTATGTATTTGGTACAAGGTCTCACTATGCAGCTCGGACTCTAGTGATTTTCCTGTTTCAGCCTCCCCAGTACTGGAATTACAGGCATGCAACATCACTGAGCTATCTTCCCGGCCCTGGGAAATGATTTATAAAAGTGGTTTATAGCTTGTAATTTAAGCACTGGGGAAGTTAAAATCAGGAGGATAACGATGAGTCTGATCTGTGTAGTGAGACCCTGTAGACCCTTTACTGAAAACATTAAAAAAAAAAAAAAAAAGGTTATAAAGCTGGGTGTGGGCACACAAGTCTGTAATCCCAGAACACTGGGAGACTGAGGCAGGAAACTGCAAACTTGAACCCATCCCGGCAATTTAGGAAGACCCTGTGTCAAAAAAAAAAAAAAAGAAAAAACAAAAAACTGGGCTAGGGATGTAATCAATGCAAAGGCCCTGGGTTCAATCCCAAGTGCTGCTGAAAAACAAAGTACTACATAAGGCTAACTTAAAATGGTATCTATCTGTGTTATCTTTGGTCCAAAAATACCTCTAAAATGAGGCTTGTGCCAGGTAGCATGCCTTCCTAGTAAATCTCCTTATAAATATTGACATGAAAGTGTAAAATATGCTTTTATTTTAAAACTTGAAGTTATCAGATGTTGTCTGCCTATGATGAATTCTATTGTAAATAACATTTTCCCATGATTGTAGTTTCCTAAAGGAAATTGTCTTTTTGCCCCTTGTTTTTTTCCCTTAGCTACTGCAGTTATTTTTCACTTAATAAGAACACATGGCTCAGAGGCCATTAGAGTAGATATAATGGATGAATGTCACTCTGAAAGTATGACAAGATTCTCAGTGGGGGTAAAAAGCCATGGTAGAAGCTGCTATTCGGGACCTCACTTTCAAACTTGTCTTTAGAAAAAATAGTATGGCTATAGAACATTTATGCTTCTGACTTTATTACCTTAGAAGAGGAAATAGCAGTGGAGGGTGTTTAGCTGATACGGGAGAGTTGTGGTTCGAAGGAATGTCTGCTTGCTAACCAAGGTCAAGAGTTGGAATTCTGGCCAGTTCTGTTGGTGAGAGGCTGTGCTGGGGGCAAAGGCAAGATAGGGTGCCAGGAGGGATGCCCTGCCTTCTCCCCAGGTCTCCTGGGCTGGGCTTGCTTTAGTTGTACTAAGGTAAGTGTGTGGCTGTCTGTCATCAGAACAGGAAGCACTTTCTTTGCCACTTAGCTCTGGTTCACTTTGTCCCTGAACACATTGAGTTGAATGAGAATAGCTATCGCCCCTCAGCCTGGAGTGCACTGTTGAGGCAGTTTGAAAGCCTCTCACTAGCATCTTCGCATGGAAATTGTTTCTCCTTAAAGACTGTTGATTTCATGCCAGGTTCCTTTCCACTGCCTCTGGTTATAACAAATGCTTTGAAAAATTTAAAAAAAAAAAAAAAAGAACTACACCTTGCTCTGGTTGAGTTAATTTGTGTCGGGGGTTTCTGGGTGCAGTGCTGCCTAAGTATCACTTGGCTTTGGGTGTACTACTTGGTTTGGTGTTCCTTACAGTGTACAGGAGAAGTGTGAGCACAGCATCTGAGTGACTAAAGTACTTGGGGAGGATTTTCTAAGCCATCTTGTCCAGCCCTCTTAATTCACAGTCAAGAAAGCAGAATTCCCAAGAGGGTAGGTGGCATTTTGAAGGTTGCACAGCCTGTTTGTTAAAGACTGAAGCAAACAATTCCAGAGATTTCTGACCACTTTGCCAGCCTGGTGTAATTTCAGCATGATTTCCAAATGACTTCCTTCTTTGGTTGACACAAGCAGCTCTTCATTCCAATTTATATAACTTTAAATGCTTCAATACATATTTGCAATGTTTTATATCAACTTTCTTGGAAAGGACACTATAGTTACTAATTAAATCAAGAAAAATATTGTGGATTGAGCATCAAAAATAATCTAAATGATTCAGACTTTTGCAATATGGTAAATATTTGAAAATAAAACACGTTTGCCAAAAGTACATAACTTTATCCTTGTGTTCAGTTTCCTTCAAAAGCATAATGTGAAAATTCTTACAATATCAGAGTCATGGACCAATTTTTAGAGGTGAGAGGCTATCTCTGCCTCTTATTCTCACCATTAAAAAATGTGATTTTTGTGTCAGCTGTTGGCAAAATTCCTTGCAGTCCATGTACAGAGGTTCATTCTGTCTTTAGGTCAGAGAAACCTGTTACAATTCATCTTCCCAGGTGGATTGAGTACCTTTTCTACCCTGAGAGAATAGGAAAGTATACATTATGCAGTGTTTATCTTACAGACCTGTAAATGAACTTTTAGGTACCAAGTCATTACTAGGTTGGTACAAAGCACTTAAATAATTGTTAGTAATCCTGGTTCCACATTGTCTGCCATTGTTATTACTGTACGTGACTGCCCATAAATACAATTGGCAGGAACAAGTACTTTTGTGAAAGAAGGCTCACAACTACTTAAGGTTCTCTGAAGCCCTAACATTTAATGTACTCCTACAAATCATCCCAGTTTCCTAGATCCTGAAAAGAATCACATATTATGTTTTGTTTTTTTTTTTTTGATACAGGGTCTCGTTACACAGTTCAGACTTGTAGTGATCCTACTGTCTCAGCCTCCCTAGTGCTGAGATTACAGGCGTGTGCCACCATGTGTGATCAGGGGCCAGCACGACATGTGGTACCGGAGTTTGAACTCAGGATCTTGTGCTTGTCAGGCAGGTCCTTAGACTACCAAGCTATATCCCCAGCCCTACATGTTATAGTTTAAAAACTAAACTATCTCTCATATACTGTTCCTTTTTTTAAATTTATTTTTGGGCATTTCTATTGGGTGGCATTCTTTAAATACTTTCAAGTCCCTGAATTTGCTCATTAAAAAAAAAATCACAGGAAGTCAGTATATATTTATGTGCTACTAGAATTTAAGTAAATATTTTTCTTATAATCTACATGTTAAGCTAATTTATTTCCAACTTGTTGTCCATATGATACATTTTATGTCAGAATTCTTTTTCCATGCATATAATTAAAAGAAAGTTACTGAAGATATTCCTATACCCAACTTCATATCTATTTAGGGTCATTTAGAAAACAGAAACCACAGGGGTATTTTAGGAGTTACTATAATATGAAAAACCATTAACCAGGGGAACCACCAAGCCTGTACTCCTCATAGTAATTGAATTGCCAACTGTGGACTACTGGAGTTTGAGGAGATAAGGAGTTTCCACTGGGATATAAAATCACTGCTTCTTTTTCAATCCACCTATGAAATCAGATCAGCTGAACTAAACAGTACCTCTCAGTGTAATTAATTTACACTGTGGTGTGAGCTCCTTTACCATTGTGGACCGGTGCCAGTCATTTCAAGAACCGGTTCTTTCCATTGGTACCGTACTGAGGTGTCATGCAGATAGTAATAGGGAAAGATGGCACCTCTCTGAGGACCAAGAGATTACAGGAAGTTTGGACCTATCGGAACCTCAGAGCTCCGGTGAAGAGCTGTGGAGCCTGGTAAAGACTTCTGAGCCAGGAATGCTGACCAGCTGGTGACCTCGGGGGAGCACACTGAAGCTGGCTCTGACAGTGAGGAGAAATTAAAAGCTGGAACCAGCTACTGCTGCTGCACCCAGCTGTTGCGCAGAGTGAAGATACGTTGCCAGGGAGTTATAAGAGAACTAAAAGGAAAGTAGAAAAGAACAAGTCGTATTTTCCCCTCACAGCCTTCTAGCTCCCTTCTTGTGCTTCTGAGAGATCAAACTTGGCCAAGGCCCAGCTCCTTGGAGTCAGAAGTGTAGTTTGCCGAGGCCAAGCTCTGAGCTGAGAGCAGTGTCTCAGTGACTAGCTCAGACTTACCATATTGCTGTAGTTTGTGACGTACCTTTGTGACCAGGTGGCATAGGTCCTCGCTATAGTGATAATGGAAATTAAGCTGTAGTGTGGATTGAAAGGTGAAATAGAGTAAGGGAATAATAGCTGGAGGAGTCACAGTCTGATGAAGGAGACTAGACTGTCCCATGAGGAGTCCTTGTGCCTTCAGGCAGTGAAGTGAGGCTCTGTGCTAACGCAAGGTAACCATAGATAGGTTCAGGTCAAGGACTTTTTGAGCAAAGGTGGTCTCAGTCTCGATGGGTGATGAAATCAGCCAGGAAGTCTTAGGGCTTAAACTTTCCTTGCTAACTGTTAGACAGACACTCCCTAAATGACTAAAATGCCTACATAGAACATGAGAAAGATTTGACCCAAAAGTTTATAAAATGAAGGTCAAGCTTTGTTCTAGTAATAGTTACCCACTAGTCACTAAAG